GCAGGATCTCATTTGCCATTGTTCTTGTATCATATGCCCCACCCTGTTCTTCGTCCTGCCTCTTTTTCCACTTTTCTAGATTAAAATCTCATATAATAAGCAATCTGGCCAATTTCACCAACAGTGAAGTCATCACAAATATTCTAATTATCACAATATTTCATTAAAAACATGTTTCAACAAGAATTACTATATTGCAACAAATTTTCAGTCTGAGAGGAGCCACCACAGTGACCATTTTTATTATATCTTTCTACTGCATCTGTAATTAGCAGTTATGTGTTTGTCTAGATACATGAACTGAGGAAAAGTGCAACATGAGTCAAATATTGTACTGAAACACATTTCTGTAAACAAAGGTGGAAAACATTCAAGAAGAACCTAAAACTTTTTGCTCTGCTAGAACAATTCTTCTCATCACCAGCCTAAATTCTCACATGTTAAATATTTCATAAACCCACAGTCATGCTCACACTTTGGTAAAACTAAACAAAACTGACAGAAATATCATTAAAATTGTTAGAACAACGTGACCATTAAAAAAAAAAACTGATGTCAGCTGTTTAATATGCTTTTTCTGATACCGAAAAACATAGACAATATCAAGATATAAACAGGAATTTGGCCACAATTTGATCATCTTTCAAGCTCCAAGACCATCAGTCACATGTTTAAAGCTGACAGCAGGTCTCCCCACACACTCAGCCCTGTGACATCAAAGTCTCCATCAGAAATCTTCAAAGCATTTAGTTCTTTTTCTACATCCCCCCTCAGAGACGGACTGGCATCGAATAAAGCCAGAAAGAGCTCAGTAAGTTTCTTGAAGGACACTCCGGGACCCGTGCTGGTTAGAACCCATTCGCCGTCACTTAAGCTGTATTCCATTTCCGAGGCCCACTTTTTCAGTACATTACAAGATGCATCTCTGAGTTTCTGATGTTCTTTTGCCAGGTCTTTCAAAAGTGTAGGAGACAGTAGAGAACACATGTACTGCAGCAGACTGTGTTTCTTTTGCAACCAGTCTAAGAGAAAATCATGTGCAGCAGTTTGTGCAGTACAGTTTTTGGATGTCAGCAGAGCTGCAGCGATGACTAGACAGAATTGTTGCAATGCCCCTTCGCATCCCTGGAGGACAGAGCCTAAAAATTGCTCTGCCCTGCAGGTTTCACTGCCTTGGTTCAGCAGAGCCTCCAGCCTCTCCATCAGCATCTCCCCCTGCACCTCAGCATCAGCACCAAGGGCTGACATATCAGCTAAGGGGCTCAGGACCTTATAAACGGATTTGCATTGAACTATGTGACTGCAGAGACCTGTGACGTCCTCATAGTCTCCGTGCATCGTCTTGACAGGACGCGTTGTGTCAAAGAGGATCTTCATGAGAGAACTGGGAAGTTCTGGGTTGTTCAACAACCTGACGAGCAACAAGTGCTGGCACCGGGGGAGGTCCGAGAAGGAGACTTCGGTGTATCCGGGGATGGTATCTCGCAGAGTTTGGTTTGTGAGCTGCAGCTGTTTCTCCATTATCCTCCTAATAGCGGCGTTATTATGGAACCTGGAGAAGATGTGCTCGCAGTACCGGGCCCAGTGAAACGCCCTGGACAGAGTTTGTTTATCCCAGTGATTCACCGCATCGCTCTGCGCCGCCACCGCCAGCATCTCCACCGTGCTAGCTAAGTTTTTCAGCACCGCCTCCATGTGGCGCTCTCAGCATTCAGAGTTCAGCCTTCAGTCCGGCTTCGGAAACCCACTGAGGAGAAAGGTTACAGCCTGAACCTGAATCATCTGAATTTCGCCATGCTGCTGAAAAACTGCTATAGCATTTGAGATGCAGTTTAGCTACATGTTAGCTAAGATGTCAACATACTAGCATGGCAAAACAAGACTTCCGGTGCCGCACTTCAATAAATAATTCCTCTTGAGTAACGTGGGTTTCAATAACAGCTGACGTTACAATAAAAAACGAATATGACAGCACGGAGAAAGTTGAAGAAACTCACATATCTGGTGCCGGTTTCTACTGCTTGATTTTCCGGTTGAATATACCGCTCGTTAGTGCGCAAGTGTGCCAATATAATTTCATCCCCTTCAAAATAAAAGCACATCAAGCGATCTTAGCGCCACAAAATGAGTTAATGAGTTCGGTACACACAAACTCGGAATTTTTGTGCTTACGTGTATTTTTTTATATGGATTACACACACATTTACATTAAAAAGCATCATAAGGGTGTTCTGACTAGGAAGACTACACCTGAAACACGTAATTAATGTATTAATAATGATCGTCATTCATTATTTCAATTTACTCTCAAATGCAAGATAGTGTCATTCAAATTACGCCTAAATGAACCAGTCTTGATATAATAACAATGCGACTAGATGGATCAAACAGCACAGTTGCACACACAGACAAAAACTTTACATCAAAGCGTTTGGAAGAATAGAAACTCAGGCCAGAAAAAAATGTTACAGAGGGAACACAAAGAAGAGGCAGTGCCAACACGACCAAACTTTCCTCCCATCATCATAATCAGCAGCAGCAGCGTAGCCTGCTGTGAGTGAGTATATGTGTGCGCGCGTATGCGTGTGCTTGTGCAGTCAGCTTGTGCAGCGAGAAAGATCACCCCGGTCCACACTGGTTTGTGATTTTGGAGGCTAACCTGTGGGTCGGTGCACCACTGTGAAAAGCATGAAAATTGGGAACCAGCATCTCACAGGACGAGTGAGAGGAAGGAGCGCACCAGCGAGCTGAACCCTTAGGGTGAGCACACACGAGAAGCTTTTCATTCAGGACATTTTTCGCTACTTTTACACTGTTGCTGTATGACTGTCAGACTATTCATACTTGCATTTCTGTTTTAGGTTTTTAGAAAGTACCCTTTGCAGAACAATACCATCTAATGAAACTCATTTAACAGTTGAGGGGGGCTTGGTTGAATCTTACTTCTTGACAGTTGACAGGAAGGTGCTTGCCTTTTTACTCCTTTCAGAGTTAATACCAGACATCTGTAATTAAACGGAATATCATATATTTTGTGTACTAGCTGCTCTCAGTCACTTCATTGGTTTTTAATTAGCAGGCGCTCTGCTGGATTTGAGTCATAACTCATCAAGCGTCCTCCCTTGGACCTATTTCAAGAGTGGTAAATTGTCTGTTGTGGACGCTTTATTTGTGACAGCTGTAAAGAAGGAGACAACCTAAAAAGCTTTATTGCAGTTGTAAATGAAGTGAGAGGCCAATACAGTTCTACCCAAAACCAAGCCCTGGCACCAAATTCAGAGAAACTATAAAAATAGCTCATTTTATCTGTTTTCTTGACATACAGTCAGCCTGAACTTTGGTTTGTTGACAGTTCAAATGTTTCCTTAATCAAAGGTCTGAGGTTGCATATTCCATTATGAAATCATCTCATTTGTAAGACTTAAGTGCAGATTCCCATACAGACAGTGTGCTTCATTGACTGTAGCACCTCAAGCAATCTGATACCTGAACACAACAGATTACTTGTCAGCAGTAGAAACATGCTGAGTGTCCTTATTTAGATGGACAAATCAACCTCCAGATCGGCTAACTGTTGTAGTGGAGGAGGGCACGCAGGGCAAAGAGGGTTACGAGGACAGAGCCGCTCTTGTACTTTCTAATGTGATTCATCAGTCAAAATTCCCATCCATATGCCTTTCCCGAAGCAATCTGCAGCCAACCGTGGCACATTAGCATGGCTTTAGTGAAGTCACGAGATGACTCAGGATGAATGTAAATTTTGTATTTCTATATTTTTTTTTGCACAAAGCCTAGCATTCGATCATGAACCAGATTCTTAAAATACACGCAGTTTAGCAGAGTGCAGGCTGCTGAAGCTAAACATGTCAGGAAACAGTACGGTGAGAGGAACCAGGTATGTTTTACAACAGCTGGCCGGGGCTATTTCCTTGGGGAAAAAATGGTGAAAATTGAGCTCGATGTTTGTTTACGATCTTGTCAAGAACAATAAAACTGAACCGAGGTTGACATGAAGATTTATTGAACAGAGACTAGTATGTGCGAATTCAAACAAAGCAAGAAAATTGTAGTGAATTTTAAGTAAATTTAAAGTGACATGTGAGAAGACACATAGGAATCTTTCAGAAAGTTTTTATACCATACAGCTTTAATAAGGAAAATGTACAATAACAATAAGTAAAATAGCAGCTTGATACATTGCCCACTGACGCAGCACAGGGAATGAGCTTGTTAAGCTCTTGCACTGGGAGACATGAGACATCCTAGTGCCCTTGTTCTGTCTGTCAGCCTTCACCAGTGGACATGGGAATGTAGCACCTGTGTGTGAGCGCCGAGCTCCAGACTTTTGTGTGTGTATGCAAGCGAGTAGAAGTTGCCTTCTCAAAGATCTGACAGCCTTGGTCGGACATCAAGGTCCTGATGTCCAGTTTTGCATCACGGTGCCATTTAGTTGCAGCCAACTCCAGACGGACCTTGAAATGTTACACAGCTTTAAAGGTCAGATTCCTCATATCGTGCTGCACTCACTCAGTATTCACAGGAAATTTTCATCCACCGCGTGCTTTGAACTACTTGTTCGTGGCAGCTTCCTTGTTTAAATAAGCTCTTCTTGCAATTTGCATCTGATATCCTGTTTTTATTTGCGTGCCAGAGGGTATGTGAAATGTTCCTGCTTGGAGGAAGCGGTGGAGGCAAAACCTTTAAAATGCAACAACAAGATTTCAAGAATGTGAATTCTCTTCAAGTAACTTTCTGTTTCTTTAAAGAACCCCGGACAAAGAACTTTACCAGAAAAAAGGAGAACAAAGTCACTTCATCATTGGCTGTTAGGTAAGCTGTAATGATACCAGACTTAAGATGTCTGTTCTGTATGTAACAGAGAAAAGACATTTTGCTCATATCTTATTTGTTATTTTAAAATAGAAACTCTTGAGTACTTTGGGAGCCTTTAAATCCCCGTTATGCCACTACCTCTATGCTCTAAAGGTTGGGGTGTCTCCTTTCTGTCTGCATTGCATCGTTTTTCTATGTCAGAGTACTTTAGAGAACAGATTGACGCTTGCAGTGCTGCTGATGTGCCCTGTTACACAGCTCAGGTCTTGCATCTGGTGCCCAGTTGTTTTGTCAGGCACTCGCTCTTCTCCACCGCAAATCCGTTAATGGAGTGACACTGGACTGATATCTGAAAGATTTTCATATTGCAGCTAATGCGGTGCACCCTTGGCGCACTGTAGCCTGGTATTGGAAAAGACTGGGCCAAATGCTAATTTACTCAGTGACTTCACTTTCAAGGAAATAAGCAGCAGTTAAATATTGTTCCAAGTACTGATGTCAAATGCAATCTGTCCATCAACCTGTAGCACAAGACCTGCTGCACTGTTGACTGTGATGGGCTGATATGCACCGCTGGATAGACTGCTTAATAGATGGCAGAGTAATTTGAAGGAGCTCTTTGTTGGTTGAATAAAAGTCCTACTGTACCAGTCTGGCTGGTATAAAAGTGTCTCTTGTCCAAAGAAAGGGGTGGAAAGAAATGGTGCTCTCTAATGTCATCAGGTTTATTGTAATCCATACCAGGATTTTGACCAGGAGAACAAAGCTGCTCTCCTTTCCTGTTTCAGCTTGCTCCTCCTCTGCCCCTTTTGTGAATATGCAACATGAATGATAGCTAATACTGAAGAATTTTATTCTGAGGATCCGTTTAGATCACGAGTATAAAACACACACATATTCAGAGGTTCCTTCTGTTATCGTGACATATCATGACCGCTGTAACCAACTTTGTTTAAGCTTTCAAAAGAGCTGCACAATATTTGGAGGATGCTAACTAGAGCTGAAATGACGGATTAGTATATTTCCAGAAAATGTGTAACTACTTTGAAGGTAAATGAACCTCTGGTTTAAGGTTATTACATATGAGAATTCTCCGATTCACTCTGTTTTGCATCACTGTCAACTGAATGGGTATAACACTGGGAATTTCTCTTTTTGTTTTTTGTTTTTTTCCTTTTTGATATCAAATGAATTGAAGAAGCCCTTTCCTAGAGTGTACCCCAGCTCTTGCCCTGTGACAGCTGAGATAGGTTCCAGCCCACCTCCTGGCAACTCTAAATTGAATTAAGTGATGCATTGCATCACCTAATTATTCCCTGGAGAGAGTAAATCCTCGCAGTACTTGTTACATTACTTTAGCATTACTCAGAAACATTGCCTGAGATGAATTGTCCCATTTACCAGTTAATAGTATCAACCTTGAACTACAGTGCCCACACACTGGCATGAATCCCTATCCTAGTGAGGACACAGGATCTTTCTTTTATTGTTTAAGTATTAACACAAAGCTAACAGCAAAGTTGAAAATCAGATCATTGTGCAGATAACTGAAGAACCTTTGTAATCTAAGTAATGCTGACTGTGTAGTGTGCAGGAGTGGGTCTGCGTTACAGTGTGATCAGGGGACTTGGTTGGAGGGAATGTCTTGGACTCTGTCATGTTCTTTGAGCCATTCCTGAGCCGTTTTTGCCATTTGATGAGGTACATCGTCCCGCTGGGGGAGGCTGCTGCTGATGTCTGGCAGAGTTTTTGCAGTTCTTTCCAGCTGAACGCTGCTTTTTAACAATATGATCAATGTTTTTTTTCACTTCACCACTTAATGGTTTTAATGTTGGGGCTCATGTATGTATATACATACATACATGGGTGCATACTCAAACATATGCATGTATAGAGAAGAACATGATGGTTTTGTTGCCTGCTACAACAACAAAGCATTTATTAGCAGGACTTAGATGGAGTCCAATTAATATGCTGAGGTATCTGGATAATATGTACCTCCTTTATTAATGTTTTGAAGATCTGCTATACTGCACACTGGAGCTGCACATTGTGTCTGCTTGCATAATATTACAGATATCTTACATGTTCATGAATTCTATATCATTGGACTGTCTTAACCTTCTCCTGCTGATGAATAGGGAACCATGTGCAGTTCCCTGAGCCCCAAACAGCCCAGCGGGCCCGGCCTGACAGACATGCAGCAGTACCAACAGTGGCTTTCCAGTCGACATGAGGCCAGCCTGCTGCCTATGAAGGAAGACCTGGCCCTGTGGCTCACTAATATTCTTGGTAAGTCACACTAACGAGCAAGAAACACATGCTATTAACAGTGAGGATTTATTACCACGAGTTATAGTTTATAACATGGTTTAATTCGCTAAGCAAAGCGAATTTAATTCAGTTATATTTATATAGGGCCAAATCATAACAACAATCGCCTTGAGGAGTAGCAATACTAGTACATATATAAAGATACAGTTATATTCCTGAACTGTGGTTAAAATGTGTTTTAAATCATTCATTTCTCAGATGTTTTGCTAGCTGTGCGAAATAAAATAAATGTAAAAAATCAGGGTGTGGTTTGTAGATTCATTGGATACACAGGCTTAGAAATAGCTTGGCTTTGAAAAAATCCTGCACATTTCATTGCTTTGTGTCTAAAATGAACTCGACTGGTCTTTGCTGATGTAAACACCTCTGCAGGGGACTGTGATCAATCCGCACCTCATTACAAACTATTTTAAAGTCCCCAGATTGTGTGGACCTGTTCCAGTTGCAACGCTCTTTCATAGATTTACTTTAAACGAATAATGGACACCATTAACTGTTCTTAAATAATGCACAGTGGGTGGGAGCATCAGCACTGTGCAAGGATGTGGTTGCATAATAAACGATTCTCTGCGCTGTACTTCTTTAACAGCGCAGCCACAAAACAAAAGCACAGTGCACTTTGATCTGATTTGAATGGGTGTGTATGAATGAGTTTTGTATGGTTTTTTTGTTGTTGTTGTTTTTTTGTTTGTTCCTAGAGCCAGGGAAAAATTTGTATTAAACATGGATATCATTAGTGAAATACCTTAGAGAAACACCTACAGTCATTTCCATGATGTTTTCTTAAGCATTCTTGCACCAATGACTCACCAGAGTCAGCTCATAAATATTCTTACAAAGGCTGCCACCAGAGTAAGAATTATGTATTTGTTAGTTGGGTTTCAGAGATGTAAACTGTCTGTTAACCAGTGTTTCATCAGAATTTTACATTTGTTAGAGTCGAGTTCTCAAAATTTCAATGACTGAGTGCTAATGAGGAAGCCAGTGTATGAGTGAACACACAAAAATACACACATGCAGCACGTTTACTCTAGCTTTTGTCATAAGTATGTTGGTTTGTGTTTGTAATTATCATGTTTGTACTGCTTTTAGGTTATTAACAAGGTCGCACCTATATGTTAGAAGAGATAAGTATGAGCTGCTTGATTGTTTCTTGTTACACAAAACCAAGGGCCTCCGCTGGCCCTGGTGCTAAACGCTTCATAGACTGTGCTTTTTGTTTAAAATATGCTTAAGAACTACTGTATGTGTTATGACTGGGAGTTACTCCTGGATGCATATAACAGACACTTTTCAAACCAACTATAAGGTTCCTGAGACTCTCTCATGTCTGTGTGTAAACAACTTAAAACAACTTCAGTGTCTTCCGTGTTATCTCTGGCTGTGTGTGTGTGTGTTTGCACTGGAACCAGCTGAGCCAGAAAGCCATGGAACTAAAGGGTTCATAAGCAGGAGCATGCAAGTGTTTCCAGTGAATAAACACTACAGAATTAATTTGTTGGTTTAGGCCAAGTTCTGTATTTGCTCAGTATTTTTTTTTTATTCTGTGAAACAAGATGCTGACATCCTTGATTACAGTTTCAGGTGAGACCTGCCGTGTGGCCCGCTGCCGTGTGGGAGGCATATGTTTGGTTATACTGATGAGTCATTGTTGTCAAAGCGGTAACAGCTTGCCTCGTATTGTTTTCACTTCCCGAGTCTGTCTTTTTGTCTGTCGTCATGGCAAAATGTGCTCCTCAAGACACTTACTTAAGCAGGAACTACCACAAAGGTGGTTTAAAGCACTTGGCAGGTGTTTATGTTTGTCTTTGTGCATTTGTCTGTGGACAGTTGTTCAGTTGTTTAGCAGTGCAAGAAAAACCCAAGAAACTTAACAGGTGTTTAATTGTAGTTTTAATGCAAGGAGAAGGCTGAGTTTGCAAACGGTCAGAGCTCACTGATCCTAATATATTCCCAGTGTAAGATGATCTCAAGTCAGATTGAAGGAACTGGGCAACTCGTATGATTAAATATTTAATTTTACTATACTTCTATTGGAGCCCGGTGAAAGATATTTTCCTCTCACAGCGTGGAACGAGGGTCGTACGAGTAGAGTATAAGACTCACTGAGTGTTTCTCAAGATTTCAATCTCTCTTTTCTGGGCTCAATTGCAACATTTGGAACTCATTAAACATTGAACCCCTAAACCCCTCCTCCAATAAGAAAGAGAAAAGGGATAAAAAAAATATCTCCAGTTTCTTTCCACAGACACCCCCCTGCCACCACCTCCTATTTCACGATGATCTAACTAAGAAAGAATGGTCCTCTGGAAGTCAGTCAACTGGACACCACATGTTGATCACCAACGTAGCTCTGCAACTGCACAGGATAATGAGGCATTACTGTGTACAAACAGATGCCATGTTTTTTTTGGATTTTTTTATGCATCCCCGTAGTTGCCATCCCACGGTGTGTGACCAGGAAATCCCCAGATCCTCTCAAATCATGTTGTACTATTTCAGCTTTTGGCTCCTCCAGAGCCGCCACAAACCCGGCAGCAAAAGCGACGCTCGGTCATTAAAACGGTTTTAGGAATCAACAGCACTGCGTCAGGTTTGACCGCAACTCGGAGTGAAGTGGAGATAAAATTTTATTTCCTTACGCTATATGTATATTTTTTAAACTTGCGGCGCTGCTCTTTCTTTATGTGTCTCCTGCTCAGGTCTGGAAATCACTGCTGAGAGCTTCATGGACCGCTTAGACAATGGCTTCCTGTTGTGCCAGCTGGCTGAGACACTGCAGGAGAAGTTCAGGCAGAGTAATGGAGATCTGCCTACCCTTGGCAACAGCAAGGTACAGAGAGACTGCAATAGTCCTGTGTGATACAGGTTACAGTGAAAACACTAATCTGAAAGTTAAATCTTGGCTGAAAATCTTCCCAGACTATCAGCTTGAACGATTTCACAGAGCATTGTTCCTGAGTATGAAAACATCATCTGAGCAGACACTTATTAGGTCAGATTGACTGACAGTCACTATTTAAAACCACTTCCACATGTAATGGTCTTTTTCACATCTAAATACAAAAGGATATCCCAACACAACATTAGGAAAGTAGCACAGAGGCAGAAAGACGCTCTTGATGACTGCGCCCGTGAATTCCTACTTTGCAAAGAACTCCACAATTTTAGAAAGAAGTGCACATAAAGTGGGATGGGGGGATGGGGGCCTCTTGCCTTCAACAGGGCAAAAAAGAAAAAAAATAAGGCTAGCAAGGACACGTTAACTGATGGGGCCCCACATCCCCTGTGAGATTTGGGAGAACAGCATTAAACGTTCTTTTCTTGTGAGCCTTGACTGAGGATTTAATGAATTTCATTAAAAGGGGTGCCTTGAGAGTGGTTACCTGTAATTTCACCCAATCAGTCTGTCCAGATGTATATTTATGGGGTTGGTGACTAAAACAACAAAAACAACTAGGCAAAAGAAAAATGTTTCTATTTATGCCCCATATATTATAAAAAACCCATGGATACATCCTCAAAAGTTCAAAAATATATGTTAAAAGATGGATATTTACCTTCAGTATCTGTTTATTGCAGATATTTAAATGCTGAAGTGACAGCTGGTCTCAGTGGCATGCAGCAAAAACTGTGATTGGGTCATGTTCGTGCCTCTGTTCGGAAGGCAAGAAGTAAAAGATGTTTGTTGGTCCTTCAGTGAGAGTTGTTGATGTTTGCACTGAAGCATTACTGTGCTGATGTCAGTGGGTCTCCTGATCTCAGTGTGAGCGCAGCAGCACAGATGTGAGGAAATACTTGAGGTCAATGACCGTGAGACAGCAGAGGAGCTGCCGAAATAGAGGAGTCTATTGATTGTGAATGCCAACAGAGGGAGAGAGAGAGTCCTTGGATAGGCTTTAAAATGAAACAAAGCTGCATTATGATATTGTGCAGCGAGCGTGATTTGATTCTGTTTGTCTGAATTAAGGGTTTTCATTAAAAGATTAACCGTGTTATTCATGTCTGATACACAGTATGTCATCCAATGAGTCTTTATGCTTGTCGTGGCATTTGATCAGCTCTAGTTGTTTGCTATCAGATTTCACCACTTAAAAGAGGACATCCATCTGTGTTCAAGCCCTGTTATAAGTCGATGTGGTGTGTGAAGTGGGCCTGTGACTACAGCACAGGGGTACCATCAATCACACTTTGCAGATGCTGTGCTCCAGACGTCTTCCCATGTGTTTATATCAATCAGTATTAAGTCCAGATGAGCAAAGGTTGTTTTCATTCTTGTCATAACACTTTGACAGGCTGATTTTTGTACAGTCATTTCAATAACTGGGGGAACTTATTGCTATAGCACTGAAATTTTAAGCAAAAGTGCAATGTTCAAGACTTGGTTTCGGCAGGAGAGTGAGATGAGAAGATCAAACATCGTAAATATGTAGCATTGACCAAAAGGGATTTTTTTTACAGGGAAAGGAAGGGCCATGAAGCTAGACGCAGCTGCTGGTTATCTCAGCAGAAAGGCTTGGAGAGGAAAAAGTAGCCCGGCTCTGTACAAAGTTCATGAAATCTGTCCGCTTGCACCCATAAAGCACACCACATATTTGCTTAACCAGTGCAAAAACAGAGATGTCAGTCGAAGACAGTTCAACCTCCAACTAACATATGTGATAATAGCATAATCTTCTCATCTACCTCTTAAAGTAAGAAAGTACCGGGTAAATGTATTTTTAAAGTGTCAAACTGCTCATCTCGTGTGTGCATGTTGAGGTATTTAAATTCTTTGAATGAAATAATTTGATTATAGCTGTCGTTGCTCATTTCAAGCATAGCAGTTCCTTTTCCTTATTATTATTCCCATATGTTTAAAGATAATCTTTTCCAGAAGTCCCCTACCTCCTGTGCAATCATTAGACATTCAAAGGTGCAGATCATTTGGCAGCCAAGGCAGAAATAATAATACATTCATCTGATTGTTAGATGAAAAAAACAAAAAAACAACCTTGGCAAAGTTGAATATTTATCCGGGAATGCAAAGTCATTTAACACAAAAGATCCCCTAAAAAAAAGTCAAAAGGAGAGTCTGGAATGAAAAGAAAAATACCCACAAAAGCTTGCATATTTCCAGCATGAGCTCATTCCACCTTTCTCAAAGCACAGACACACATATCCTGTATAAAACCACAGCAAAGCGCATAAATCTCCCCGAACAGACCGTGTGTGGGGGCTGAAAGCCATAAGCATGTCATTTGAGCCCAAATCATAGACAGCCTGGTAAAGTAGCACAGGTTTTCAAACTCGTCATTTCTCATATTGATCTCAATGGGAAGGGTTCTTGATCCTGGGCTGAAATCAGAGCCTCAGCAGACATCAGTGTAGATGTAGAGAATGTGGCTCTGTGTTTTGGTGGAGCTCTGGGTATTGGTTCGAACAAGTCACTGTGGAGGACTTTTGTCCTTTCTTTGTTAAACTGCAGAATAAGATGTTTAAATCCGATCTTGTTTAAGTGAAAGTAAGGGGGTTCTTCTCTGTGTCTGTGACAGAGAATTCCCAATCGGAGGATACCGTGTCGGCGGAGCGCTCCATCCGGCTCCTTCTTTGCACGGGACAACACAGCCAACTTCCTGGCCTGGTGTCGTGAGGTCGGAGTTGGAGAAACATGTCTGTTTGAGTCAGAGGGTTTAGGTGAGTCTGTTTTTATTTCTCACCCTGCGAAAATGTCAAGATGTAGGACAGACCGGGTACATAAACAGGCATCACTTTCCTCACAAAGATTCAGTTCTCTCAGGCTTTGGTTATCCCTGGCACTGCTGGGGCAGTGGGCTCAGATTTCTATCTTCTGTGAATGGCCTGATTGTACAGGTACAGTGACACGCAGGTTGGCCTGCTTCCCTCTCCTCCCCTCTGAGGATTAGAAGCCTCACATCACCAGACCGAGCCTCACCTTCTTTGACGTGCTCAAAAAGCTCACAGTCCGGGTAGCACAGTGATGGGAGCAGCTCTACCTGACAATAAGGGAATCTCAGACAATGCACTCATGCACAAAACATCTAAAGTAAAACTACAGGAGCGTGGACATAAAGGTGTGAGATGGTGAGAAAGTAGGCCAACAGTATGCAAATGTTTTCCTCAGCGCACAGTAGGGATATTTTTCTCTCTTCCTCATTCGCTCTCTCAGTGTTTATCTGTGTCTTTCTGATCTTTCGCAGAGCTTTCTTGCACGTTATTTCACTGCAGTGTCCTTGCAGCAAAGATATGCCCGGACTGAAATATTTCCCTCATAATCAGATGTGCCCCTGACAAGAGCACAAATACGCAGAATAGTCATAAATTCTTGCCATATTTTTGACTAAAAGGTTGATCAGCCATTGCTAAAAATATTCAAGCTATGTAAATCATTTCTGGATTCCAGGATATACACACACGCAGTGAGCTAGCTGCAGTGAACTATAATCGCCTTCGAATCCAGTGGACATGTGATTGTAATAAAATGCTTCAGTGAACAATCCAGCTGACGAATGTCTTTTTTTTTTCTTTCTTTCCTTCCCTCTTACTTTCTCTGGATGGATTTGTCAGTTCAGCAGTAGGTGTAACAACATCAGGTTTGCTATCACGCAGTGGATATATTCTTCCTATATTGCATGGTGTGGTGTGTCACATTATTCATGCTTTGTGTGTCCACAGTCTGGTTTGATCTATTATTTGCCGTGGTTACCGTTACCCTCTGAAGTGGTTAAAATGAACATGTGAGCAGTATTCTTTCCATTTGGTTTGGGATGAACAGGATTAGAGAGGACCATGTGATTGCATGAAGTTCATAAGCTTGTTTTTATGTCCATTTCACCATCACACAGCCACTCATTCTCATTCATCACCTTCATCCAGATACAGTACAGTATTTTAATCACCAAATCCTAAAAGGTGATCTCTTTTTGCAGTTCTTCATAAGCAGCCACGAGAAGTCTGCCTTTGTCTTTTAGAGCTGGGCCGGATAGCATCACGGTATGCTCTTGGTTTTTACATTTTCCTCCTTTGATTGTCTAGATTTTCCTGTGTATGTCTTTGGATTGTTTTGCAAATCCTTCCTTAATCTCTTTTATTCCTCATCTAGGTACAATGTGGAGCCTCCTGGCCTTATAAAACTGGAGAAAGAGATTGAGCAAGAAGAGAAAGCGCCTCTACCTCCTCCGTCACCTGTATCTCCAGCTCAGCCTGTCCCTCCATCACCCTCTTCATCCCCTTCCCCATCCCCTTCCCCATCCCCAACTCCTACCAAAGTGACTTCTATCAAAAAAAGCACAGGGAAGCTTTTGGATGATGCCGTAAGTTAGCAAGTGTTCACCTCTGTTTGCTGTTTCTACTTAACTTATCAGAGGAAAAACATCAATGTTTGTTTTTGTCAAAACAGGTAAGACATATCGCCAATGATCCACCTTGCAGATGTGCAAATAAGTTCTGTGTAGAGAGACAGTCGCAGGGTCGATATCGTGTTGGGGAGAAGATGCTCTTTATTCGGGTGAGTGTGTTACAGTATTGTACAAAAGTCCTCGTTTCTTTGTATTTTGCTTCCAAGGAGCCAGACTTTCTTGGATTTTTTAAAAGCAGTCTTGAGGAATACTTCTCCAGGCTTTTTGCAAGTCTTTCCAAGTTTTTCTTTGGATATTGGCTGTTTTTTCCCTCATTTTGAGTCCAGTCCTTGTACTCGACCAGTTTCAGGAGAATGTTTTTTTGGTTTGTTATGCCACTTAACACTAACCTATGACTCATTGAAGCATAAAAAACGCACATAACTCAAAAGATGGCCCAGTCTTGCGTCTGCACGCGACAGAGACCTTAGCAAATCGTCTATCTTTAGGCACCTTGTTATTAGCAGTCTGTCACAAAAACATAATTTGTCCCCATTTCTTTCGTTGCATCCAGGAAAATGTCACCATTTTACATGAATAAAATAGTATTTTTGCAACAACAAAGTGATTCCCAAAGAGCTATTAGCCAAACACTTGACATGTGGTGTGCAATATGTCCTTAAAAATTTTGAGGAAAATGGACAAATAGAGGAGAAATGAAGTTGCAGGCCTAAGAAAATATCTACAGCATATGAACAGGTTCTGAAAGTCTCGTCCTTAAGAAATGGGGGGGAAAAAATCCACCAAAGACCTGAGGCAGGACCTGAGCTGATTCATCCACTATTCACTGCAGCCGCATCAGAAATACTCTCAGCGGAAGGGTGGCTAATTCTTAAGAATAGAATAGAATGCCTTTATTGTCACTATACAGTTGTACAATGAGATACAGAGGAAGGGAATCAGGGAAAATGGCTGTGGTATGCCACAAAACTGAACTGAAAATCAAAATCATCAATATGTATGGGGCAGGTCACAAGAGAGATACAACTACAGCAATCTTAAAAACACAGTGATTGCTTGGGGGTGCATTTCAGCCAGTGGTGTTGGGGATCTTGTTAAAGTGGATGGAATTATGAACACAAAAAGGTACTGTCAGATTTTGATCTACCATGCAATACCACCTGGAAAGCATTTGACTGACAGTTTCAGTTTCATTTTTCAGCATAACAATGATCCCACATACAATGTCAGTGCAGTAAAAGGATGCAATCAGTCAAGGATTGGCCTTGCCAGAGCTCGGCCTCAACGTTATTCAGGCAGCTTGGGATCATCTTGACAGAGAAACGGTGGCCAATATCCAGATAAAATCTTTGGATGTCCTTCAAGAAGACTGCTTAAATAAATTTATAAAAAGCTTCCCTAAGAGAGTTGAGGCTGTGTTGTAGTATAAACGTAGTCATACCAAATACTGACCTTCAATCATGTTAGACTTGTACAAACTCTGTTTTTGCCTTATATATTCTATTTTCAATGTTTCCTATTTTCCTTGCAAAATATAAGGAAATGAGTGATGGCTCAAGATTTTTGCACAGTACTGTATATAATAATTAACATAATCGTTTTTTCACTTGTATCACTTTCATATGAGGTTATCAAATTATCAGGTTTTGGATATTAGCATAAAACTGTTCAGTGGAAAAAGTCTATTGTTGGGAAGGCCCCAACGGACATAGTTCTTTACTGGTGAGCTTATCCTTAAGCTTAGTTTTCAGGTCACTGTTCTGAATGTTTCACATTCAGTTTGCTATTATTACACTGTCATGCACTACTATAAAGTCTCAGTCCAAATAATAATGAAGACATTAGTCCCAGCACTGAAGCTTCAGAGGCAAATATTACACATTATACAACAATGACTCTATGAAATCATTGTTCAAATAAAGTAAATCATACATTACATTGTAACCTTCTTTTACAAACTGGCAAAAAGAGTAAATAGTCTATTTCTAGCAGTGGAAAATGACAGTAACCGTTTTCTTATTTTTTAATTTTCCATTCATTTTATTTTCATTCCACTTTGCGGTTTGTAACAATAACGTCTCACATTGCAAAGCAAACTCTTTTTCCAGTCGTATAGCAGATATGTGGGGCTGGTTTTGGCATGAATGTCATCCATTGTGTCTACAAATGGCCTTTGCCTTGACAATGTTTACTTTCATTTGCTGTAAAGAGAAAGCAACATCCACACATTCACCTATGATCTCACAACCAACTTACCACTTGGAATACGTCTGACCCAGAACTGGCTGTTGTACTAACATAATCACACACAATCAGTCTTTAAGCTCAGGAAATGTTACTCAGCTTTCTCTGAGTGGAGAGATAAAGGCGATTCGTGAAAGATAAATGGAGAATAACAGATCGGAGAAGTAGCATCTCTCCCCTTGGGATCCTGGTTACTTGGCAACCCACAACCGGGATTTACACCTCCAAAGATGTGATTCATGCTGGCGGTATGTGTACATTAGCAAAAGGGAGTTTACTCTTGGATGTCCTCTGCTGTTTGTCCATTGTATTGCAACTACTAATAGTTAGTAGTTGGTTTTTAAAAAACAAACCAAAAAAGTCTTAAACAAAAATGGGGAAAAAAGCTTCAGGACAAGCAGCAGAGGATGAATATATACCGTATAGTATATAAATGGGCAGCCATACTGAAAAATAGCTAAATTATAACAACATTATTAAACATCCGTTACCATGTGTCATCGTGGATACTAGTCACACCTTCAGTATGTGCGATACTGCTTAGGATGACAAACAAAGCAAGTGTTAAGCCTCTGTTCCTCTGTCTCCCAGCCAGCACTCTTCATGCTAAACATGCTTTAATTAAAATTCCCAACATGGCTCCCCCCCCCCCACCAGCTGGGTCGACTGAAAAGGCATGAATACAGTAAGCCCAGTCACTGTCTGTAGGCAGCTGGAAGCAAGGACAGCAGTGACGTGCAGCAGATCTCACTTCACAATAATCTGGGCCGCTGGAGAGGCTGACCTTCTGCTGGAATAAATGAGCTAGTTGTAGCTTGAATGAGAGAGCAGAAAAACACCAGAGTGGTTTTGTGAGAAGTGCTGTCCCAGCTCAGCCCCGGGCCTCTGCCCTTCTCTGGCCTACTGAGAAGGGTTTGGAGTCCAGCAAGGGTCTCGTCCCAAAGCAGCGTGATTGAAAACCCCTCTGCATCACACAGGTCCATTAAATCCACAATCACAAAGCCTGAGGCCTGGTGCTGATGATTGGATCTACTGCCCTGCTCCTGCCCTCACGATTGATTCATTTAAGAGGCCTATAAATGTTGTATGTTATGCTGCTGCAGGGCAAGAAGCGTCATATCTGGCCAAACTGAGGTGACAATTGCATGATGTAATTTGCCCTTTTTAACTATGTATTGTTTTCCTATTTGTCTGAATCATTTTTGAGTTGAGTAAATAATCTTTATAATAACTTGTTTTGGATTTACTCTTCTTCAGATAGGGCCATTCAGCAAACAAGCTTGTTTCCTCAGAGGTGTAATGGTGTGTTAATGAGGTAGAGGGACAAAAAGCCTCCATAGCAAGGCAGACATGTTTTATGTGTGCAGCCTCTGGGGAATGCAGGCTTCTGATCATCGAATATACCAGCGCCTTTTATTTCGTCTCTTTATTATAACCAGTGACGTTGCCATGGTAGCCAACCTTGGGAATGTGCCCTGATGTGGCAGGTGGCATCGTTTTCAAGCAAATGTTGTAGAAAAGGGATAGGAAAAAAAACCCACTGCATGTGTCTGTTTAACCAGACATATAATTTAAGGTTTTATGCTTTTTAGTGATGAAATCACCTGAATATTTATTAGCTATCCTAGTAGGTTGGGAAGTTGATCTTCCAGCTTGTCAACTCAGACCCATAAAATGTTCAGTGTTACCAGAAGATATCCCATTAACACTGCAGATTGTATGCAAATTCATGTGTATGAATTATCAGTCAACAAAATTGTATGATGAAATTGGGGTGGCTGTGGTTAAGGAGTTAGAGCGGGCAGCTATTGAAAGATTGGTGCTTCTCTGGCTGCTACAGCCTGCATACCAAACTATCTTTGGGCAACATGCTGAACACACAGTTGGTCCAAATGTGTTCATCACAGTGTGGTAAATAGAAAGCATTTAGATGTAGAAAAATGTGCTTGCACGGATGTGTATGTGTAGGAAACATGTTAAATAAAGTGCCGTGAGTGCTCCAGTAGAGTAGAAAAGGGATATATAAGAACCAGTCCATTTACCATATAAAAGTGAACATCTGTAAATTTTTCGGTAATGCTGATGTTTGTTTAGAGTCAGTGATGTAAATGTGTCAGACTTAGCCACATAGGCTAATTTTCCTCAGCATTCCTTGGCAGGTTTATTATATTTACAGACATGCTTCAACTTAACTGCCATTCATATTTATTGCCTGATTATCTATGTCCCACCTGGACACCAGTGGGGCCTACCCCGCAGTTTGAGAACTACTGGGCTAAGCTATCACTTATTGATTAACCTGTAGACTTTATGGGTGGTGTAATTGGGAAAGTAACAGTAATAAAACAATAGAACACCACTCACCAAAACTGAAGCACAAACCTCTTGGATGTTAATAAAGTTGCTGCACCTCAAGCCTGCTGTACAATCATTAAGTGGGTAATTAGCTAAAAAAAAAAAAACAGCCTGTAAAAGTGTCTGCTTCTGCTCTGAAGTTGTAAATTGTAACATGGGTGTCAAAGAACACTAACTTGTTTTGGAGCCAGTATTAAGCACCCATTCAAATTCAACAAACTGCCCAATAACAATAGAAGTTAGAACTGGAAGACCTTGTCTGTTAGCTAATGCTGGCAAGCTTGGTTTGCTTGTTACATATACTCTAAGGGGACTACACACCGACACATCTTAATTAGTGCACAATTAGCAGAAGGTACAGTAACAGAACAAACAAAAATTCCCACTTGACAAACATCAGTGCTCTCTTGACTTTTATTCTACCACCAACAGCTATTTGTCATTGCATTTTTTGCATGACAACATATATGACCCAGTAGATAATCCTCAGACTTTAGTGTTCCCCTGACTACATCACTAAATAGCATTTGATATTTTGAGGGAATGTCTCATTAATTAATAATTTCTCATACCGACCATAAGGTCCCACTCAGAAGGAATTTTAATAACCTAGTCCTTTGATGTTTCCTGTAGCACCATCATCATCATCATCAAAAACTGGAAATTTTAATGGGCCTAGTTTATCATCAAATGCCTGCTACTAACAGAAGCATTTGTGTTTAGGGCTACTTTTATTTTTATGTGAGCGTAAGGTCAAAGCAGTGCTGCATCTGCACACAGTCTCATCACTGTTAGAGTTAAGAAATAAGAGTTTCTTAGTAATCAATTCACCTAGACGTTAGGGCAGCAGGGTTGACAAAGAATCCCTCCAGGGATACCAACCACTTCTGGGACACCTACATCAATCAACAAGCTTTGACATCAAAGCCGCGCTTACATGTTTGTTCAGCTAAAACCCAAAGCTTCAATCAGGGTAATGACATTAGTCCTATAGAAGGTTTCACCCACATCTATTAAAGCACCCCTTCTGACACACCAGCATCACAACATAATCCTATTTTCTTCCGCAGATGCTGCACAATAAGCACGTGATGGTGCGAGTCGGTGGAGGCTGGGAGACCTTTGAGAGCTACCTGCTGAAACATGACCCATGCCGCATGCTCCAGATTTCCAGGGTGGAGGGCAAGATATCCCCTATAAGCAGCAAGTCCCCTAATATCAAGGACCTCAGCCCTGACAGCTACCTGGTGGTGGCAGCGCACTACCGCAGCAAAAAGTGAAGACACGAGACTGAAAAAAATCCCATTAATAAAAGGACAGATTGACTTCGTGCTGTTTTTTACTGTGTAGAGAAGGGGGCATAGCTATGCAACATATCCCTGTTCTCATGAAGTAAATATTAAAGCTGTAGTGCAACACCATTCACAGAAAGCACATTTTTCTCATAGTGATGATTTTGTTTTGTTGGTTAAAGGTCATTCTTGGGTGTTTTCATTTGATTGGGCCTGGACACATGTTAGTAGGCCTCTAGGTGTTATTTACTTTTACATAACAGCAAACAGCTTTGAAAAACATGCTCATTATTATCGTAACAGTATAATTGGTTTCATAATTAGTGCAAGGGAAGGTGTAGATTTTCTTGAGATTTGAGATTTTCCTGTTTTTATTGCATCTGAAGCAATATCACATATGGTAGGTAGAACACTTTCATCTTTTAGCTCCTCATATAAATATCTGTATTTGTACAAGGTAAAAACACAAGTTGTTTTTTTTTACATGAAATGAAATGGGTGCTGGAGATGTCGGCAATTTTATGAAGCCAGTATTCCTTGGTACCTTGATGTGGATTCTATTGATTTGTCTGTGCTAGTGTTGTTTTCCCACTTTTTTTCATTTCCCATCAAACTGATCTTCTTATCTAATTTTTTAATAATACACAGACCCTATCGGGCTGTGGCTCAAATGGGATTTTATCTCCCACATTAGAAGAATTATTTAAACCCAATGAAGTTTAAATGCTTTACTTTATACATTTAAATTCTTGTAAAAACTCTCATAAATTTATTCACAAAATCTTATAGCTTTTTCTTTGTGCATTTCTTAGTAGGCTAAAAAAAATAAAGCAATGCTCATATTGTTTACATTTTGCATAACTGTTCTATGCAGTACATTTATATATTAGCATTTTGATTGTATTATGCATTACTAGAATAGATCCTGTGTGTAATAATGTCTTCATCCGACAATCATATGTTCGAATCAGTTTCACTAGCTTGTGATTTATAAATAGATTTACTCATTTAAGGTCTCACGTTCTTCACTGTGTCGTATTACTGACCCCTACAGGTGGTGCAGTGATTTAAATACGATTATTATTGATTACTTTTGGGGGGTTCTTACAATGGAGAAATATCAATCACTGCATAATAACTCATGTTATATTAATTTGTTTTTATTCCTGGAGAATAAATATGTCGGTTTGGTATTATATTCACTGGTTGTGGAAGGCGAACTTTCAAGCCTGATTTTAGTTGTACATTTCCAATAAATGCTGAAAAGTTGAAACTTCTCATTTTGATATTTGCACGTTGTATTTTAAATTGTTAATGAAATACTAGTTTGCTTATCACTTTAAGAGTAGGCTGCTTTTTTTTGGGGGGGGGGGGGTCCATATGTATAAAACCAAAATGTACGTACGTCTTTATCTGATCATCCTACAGTTACGTCCAAAAGACCCGAGCCGCCCGTCATGTGCACAGATTCGGTGAAATGTGCAAAAATAAGTGGAAATAGAGTCCATCAGGTAAAAACAGAGTTCATGCTGTTCTAATGAGACGAGGTTTTGGTTTTGTTCATTAATACTGTTTCTTTTATTTTGTGGACATCGTGTCCGGTAGGAACTAGAACTGATGTTACAGGCAGTTTGTGAGTGTCAGCCAAGAACACTGTGTGATTTTCAGTCCCCTCAGTAATTCATCTCCGGTTAATACTGCATTAAAATCTGGCGTTAATAAGAGGTTGCTGAAGGGCATGCCTTTTTTTAAAAAATGAAGTGTTACTGTTAAGTCTGGAGAGATACAGAAACACGTTGCTGTTTGCACATATGTTATAATGAGGTCTGCACAGAAGCTGAAGAAGAGTCCAGGATAATATTCATAATAAAAACACAGCAACGATGATGTTGGTTTGTGAATGGGCAGGATCAGACGACTTTGCTTATGTCTGAACATACTTATTTCAGTATACTCTCGGAGACAGAGCTAATGTTTCAATACGACACTGACCTGTAACGTTCAGGATATTTTACTGTAGTTAGACGAAAAGAAAATTGTGAAAATATGTCTCCTTCGAGCCGGATTTGAACCAGCGACCTAAGGATTTCAGCTGTGACGTCTACAGTCCTCCGCTCTACCAACTGAGCTATCGAAGGGACGCTGCCACTTAGCGCATCCATGTGTGTGGATGAGCTAACGAACACACCGGAACAATACTTCTGCGTCAGTCTACGTCATTAGTTACGCCTTAAGGCAGCGAGATTGTGAAGCGCGTGCGGTTCGGGTAGATGACGTATGTGATATTCGAAGCCACGTGAGCCGGTGTTGTGGCAAAACGTGATCATCTGTTTAAATAAAAAAAATCATTTAAAAAGTCTTTTTCAAGAGCGATCAGACCAGGAGTGCAGGGTAAACTGCAACATCTATAACACAAGTTATATATTTTTAAGCGTCCAAACGGACCCGGATTGATTACAAAGTAGAAGACAGTGGTAATTACACTTAGAAAACAGGTTATTTCTTTATTTGTATAACCAGTTTTAATCCTACTGTCTGCAGACTATTTATCAAAAGGATATTAGACACCCGTGGTGTGTCAAAAAGTAATCATCTGACCAAAAGAGATTTCCGGTATTTGCCAAAAAGTGATTATCCGTATTTAAACAGCTGTAAATGATTTGTTGGCCAATAATATGTGAAACGATGTCAAATGCATCCCTCATGAATGATATCAAGTCATTTTGAGCCACAAACAACATTCCTGTGACAAAGTAGAAGCTACTATCAGTCTATTTAGCAACACAAGCAAAGATACATTTAAAAAAAGAGGCACAGACAACATTAAACAAAATCCTTAAATATAAAGAAATTGGGGGTGGCTCAAGACTTTGCACATCTCTGGCTACACCTGAACGACTCTAGACACGTCAGAAACTGTAAATATTAATATTTGCTTATATTTTTGTCAACTATATTAACAGTGAAACTCTACCACTAAGTATTACCTCTAAAACTGTGATTCTACGCATGAAATTGACACAAGGGTAGCAGAAATGTGATTTATTGTAGCAAATAACATTGGCTAGATTTCTTCTACAAAATGACAAGAGCACCAGAAGCATTTAAGGAAGGCTGTAAGAAACGCACTCAGCCAAGTAAGTCAAAGAAAATATCTTAAAACATCCGTTTTCTCCTTCATATTCCTTCAGTCTCGTTTCCATTGTAGTGGACTTGAACCTTCGAACGAAAGTGAGCATATTGGCTGATGGTGTGCAAATAAGTGTGTAACAAAAGCTTCAGTTGTAGTATGGCAATTCACAAACATTTCTCATTTAGATTAAGCAGCCATTCCATCCGTGTTTGCATACACTACAATTCAATGCAACAAACTCAAAAACTGTGCATGATAAACAAAGTAATTAAAAAAAGGGCTCTATTAAAGTAGGGCAAAGACTAGTGCGAAGAACTAGGACATTCTTATTGGCTGGAGAGTGCTCTACAGTTGCTCTACATCAGGGGTGTCGAACTCCAGGCCTCGAGGGCTGGTGTCCTGCAGGTTTTGGATCTCACCCTGGGTCAACACACCTGAATCAAATGATTAGTTCATTACCAGGCCTCTGGAGAACTTCAAGACATGTTGAGGAGGTCATTTAGCCATTTAAATCAGCTGTGTTGGATCAAGGACACATCTAAAACCTGCAGGACACCGGCCCTTGATGCCTGGAGTTCGACACCTGTGCTCTACATTATTCAGCAGTATTTATTAGCTGCTGCAGTTTTTGTCAAGTATAAAGTTTGTGCTTACCAAGGAATCGCCGCATTAGATGCGCCACATAGAGTCCACCTACATTCTCAGCACAAAACACCCATTTCCCCCCCCAATACAAACACACAAAATAATGACCCCAATGTGGTCTGTGTCACTGACTCGCCTCGGTGATGAGCAAGGAGCCCATTATGAGTTGGGTAAAGATAGTCAAGTTTGCACTGTTTGCACTAGTCTTTGAGTTGCCAAATAACAGAGCCCATCACAAAGTGAGTTCATGCTAAAAAGGTATATCCAACTGTTAATGGATATATGTAGAATACTCTGACTAGGAAAACCAAACACAGTGAAGGAAGCTCTGTATTAATGTACAACTGCATATTATAGCGATGTTCTTCCATGTTACCTAATGGGAGTCACTGTACTGCAACACTGTATCTAATCAATCTTCACACAAATCTCACATAATTGTGTTTGCTTGCACATTACTGTGTCACCCCTGACTCAACCAAAGGTACAAACTGGTTTGTATAACTTGGCAAATTCTGCTGTGTTTTGTGTGGAATAACTTAACTGTTTTGCACCTGACAGCTGTAGACTCATAACATGACACAGATACATAACAAGCAAAGAAAAGAAAAAAAAGAAAACGAAAGAAAAAGTAAAAACGGACAGCAGTTCCAACATCTTTCAAGTCATCTTGCAGCAATACGTTATATATTTAGACATCCGAGTTCAGACTTTACCACCAGGATTTTCAGCCCACCTGCCACTACAGGAAAAAAGAAAAACACAACACAACAAATTACAACAATGTTTATCATTCACAATGATAAATAGCAATCATTGCCATTGTGATATGAAATTATCCTCTAGAATAACCTATCACTTCAAAATACAGTCACATTTTAATTAGCTTCAAAACTATTATAAAAGTTCTTTTGCAAATGTCAAAGATTTTTCTAGTTTAATTTTTTTTTAAAAAGCTGACTGGTAAAGTTCAGGCCAGAAAAAAGAACACAAACACAGACATGCTCGAAGTGGTGTTTAATGATTTCTAACCCATCTTATGGGTAACTACTAGGGGTGCAACGATACTCGTATCGATATTGAACCGTTCGATACAGTGCTTTCGGTTCGGTAC